CCCGCGCGGCCACATGTGCTGCGGCTGTTGCGTCAACGGTGATGGTTGTGAATGGTGGTTGTGAATGGTGTTTGTAGATGGTTGTGAATGGTGGTTGTGAATGGTGTTTGTAGATGGTTGTGAATGGTGGTTGTGAATGGTGTTTGTAGATGGTTGTGGATGGTTGTGGATGGTGGAAGCAAGCGGCAGCGGGCACAGGTATGGCCACACGATGACAAAACAACAAGCAACCACATCAGCTTGGGGTGTGCTTGTTTGTCCGTGTGATACACAGCACAGCACAGCACTTACATCGTTGAAGAGTGGGGTGCGCCACACCTTCCACACCAGCGACCAAGCTGCCACAAAGTCCAATGCAGCATACAGATGCACGTGTAAGCAGTATCGAGCGCATGGCTCGTTGCACAAACGGGAAGGCGTTGGACAAGTGGGCGCAAAAGAACACACACACATGCACATACACAGCCAGCCAACAAACACACACACACACACACACACACAAACAGAGCTGTGCTGGACGCACCATAGGGCACGACAATGGCGAGACAGACGGCAGCATATGCGAGGCGACCGCGCTGTTTGATCTCGTTCTCGTCGCCCGACGGGAAACCATCATCGTCATCATCGTCGGGATGGGTGCCTTTGTTGTCTGCACACACGCGTGTGTGTGCATGCGCGACAAACGGGTGTAAGTGCGCGAGCAAACACCGCCATGGAACAGCACGTACAGGCTCCTGTCACCGCACGCGCACACACACACATACACACACACACGTACGTACACACACACACATACACACACGCACATACACACACACACACACGTACGCACGCACCTACGCATGCACACACGCACGCACACTCATGCGCACTCATGCACGTACACGCGATGCAAAAAGCGATACTCACGAGCTTTGTAAATGATGTGTTCCAGTGACAGGAAGGAGAGCTGCGAGTGTCCACGTGCGTGGGTGAAAAAGATACAGCGTGAGCATCAGGGTGTGATAGGTCGCTGCATGATTCGTGTGCATGGGATACGCCACAGGCGCGGCTTGCGATACAACAGATTGGGTCAACACATTCTTGACACATAAGGCAGTACTGTACCTTTGCCCAGACGGCTGCTGCGAAGATGCACAGCAACAGCAGCACTTGCAGCACGCCAAGCAGAAGGTTGCTGGGCTTGCAGCAAGACCTACAAGTGTGTGCGAGTGTGTGGTGTGTGTGTGTGATGTGTGTGTGCGTGATGTGTGTGTGTGTGTGTGTGTGTGTGTGTGTAAAATGAGTGTGTGCGTACAAGCAAGACACACCACCACCACCACCAATCAGACGCCAAAACGCGTTTGGTGTCCCCATGACGCAGTGGTGACAAGCTGCTATTTCTCAAGACCACACAGAAACAAGAGGCGTCACAGAAACAAAGAGGTATCGCAGCAACACACACGTTGACTGGATTTCACGGTATCCAAGCTTGTTCTTCAGTTCTTCCACGCGGCTCCAGTCCGGCGCGTCCGCTGTGAGATGGTCACAAGGAACGGGGTGGTATTGTGAGCACGCATGATTGATAAGCACAACACGGGCAGGTGTACTACGAGCACGGACACACACACACACACACACACACACACACACACACACACACCACCACCACCACCACCACCACCATCACCATCACCACCACCATCACCACCATGCGTGGCACTGACTGACGTTGGAGTTGAATGGTGTCATCCTCATCATCGTCACGGTAGTGCGACAGACCATCCGGCCCCATTGCCGCCGGCATGATGGCGGGTGGACCAACTTCGAGTGGGCCACAAGCCACAAGCCACTGACTGCCTGGGATACACCGCACAGCCCAAACAAAACCCAGTGATGTGGTAAGCAGTGGTCAACATCAATATTGGCTGCGTTTGATGGTGATGGTGATGATGATGATGGTGATGGTGATGGTGATGTTGGTTCATGCACAGCCACAACACGCCATCCACGCAAGGGAACCCACCCACCAACGCTCTTGCAGTCTGTGAGAGAGAGAGAGTGTGTGTGTGTGTGTGTGTCACTCTTTGTGGCTCCCTCTCGTCGAATCACCCCCTCCTCCAAGACCAACCAACGCAATGTCCGCGCACACCCAACAGCCCACCTCAAGTCAAGTCTTTGAGTGTCCTGCAGCAGCGTCTTGCTTGGGCTTCTTTGTTGTTGTTGTTTGTGTCGCGGCGAATTGGGCCCGTACAACACAGCACACCCAGACAACTTTTTTTATTTTTTTCACGTCAGCGGTGTGAGTCACCACTGCATTTTGTGGTGTTGTGTGCGTCCTCGACAATGCCGCGCGACGGCGGGTTGTGGCTGGCGCTGGCGCAACTGGTTGATGCTGAAGGGAATGTGCAGCAGCCCAGGATCAGTGGTGGTGCTGCTGTGAGAGCAGGAGGTGGTGGGAGCAGCCGCAGCAGCAGCAGCAACAGCAGTGGTCGTCGGGAGAGTGGTAGTGATGGTAGTGCAGCTGTCAGGCGTGCGGGTGGAAGCCATGACGGTGGAGGCAGCTCCAGAAGCAGCATAGCGATGGAGAAGGGCGACAGCGTCGACCAGCGTTTGGCGCGCAATCTTCAACAAGGGCAACGAGGGCGCACAAAGGAGCACGCTCGACTGCTCAGCCTGTATGCATATCAGCAGCTTGCTCAGAGTCGTCAGCGCCATGCAAGCAGCGACGACATGGATTGCACACCTGAGGAGGAGAGCATGGATGCAGAGAGGGGCCACAACAACAACAACAACAACAACAGCAACAACAACAATAGTAACAACATGAAACGTGCGAGTGGCAACGGACATGGTCACAGCAATGGCGGCAACCCAAGGCACAGGCGGACAAGCAACTCCAGAGACGAGAATCGACTGACGTCACTGCATATTTATGCTTCCAAAGGAAGACTCGTCGATGCTGCGTTTCGCTTGGCCACAACACAGAAAGACGCTAGCGCTGTACTCTCGCACCAGCACCAGCACCAGCAACCGCATCAGCAACACCAGCAACACCAGCAGTGCACAGGTGACACTCAGCGCCAAGGCAAGAACCGTGCGGTTGACGCGCGAGATGCAGCTGGGTGGACACCCCTCCACGATGCGGTGGCTGCCGGCGACGCCGCCATGACTGCGTTGCTGCTGCAGAGCGGCGCAGACCCAAATGCGCGCGGGCCCGGCGGCCACACGCCGCTGCACGTGGCCGCGCTGCAGGGCGGGGAGCTCCTGATGGAACTGCTGGTGGCCTGCGGTGCGGATCGCCGCCAGCAAACCGACCAGGGCGACACCCCGATGCAGCTGCTGCCCACCGCCTCCCTGTGCGCGCAGCAGCTACTAGCGCCGGAGCCGTCACTCCCCGCAGACGCCGCCACCACCACCGCTGAGCAGCAGGCGGTAGGCCACAGACAGCGGGTGCTGCTTGCTCTGTATCAGGCCATTGGTCGAGGCGCGTGGGCGCACGTGCGTCACATCCTCAGCGGCCAGACGGCGAAAGAGCTTTCCCGCGTGATCAACACCCCGCTGCATCGTGGGGAGCGTATCTACCCGCTGCACGCCGCCATTGCTGTGCGCCATCTCGGCATCACTGGCGACCTGCTGCGTGCAGGCGCCAAGCTCGACCCGCAGACGCGAATGGGCAACACCCCGCTGCACGTGGCCGTTGTCTCTGGCGAGCCGCTGTTGGTGTGGCGGCTGCTGACGGCCGGTGCAAACAAGCTCACCATCAACAACGACGGCAACACGCCGTTTGACTTGCTCGGGCAGGCGCGACGCGAGCAGCCGACAAACCGGCAGTTTGCAGTCCTGCACCGCGTGGCGATGATGGCAACGCAGCCGCTGCCCCACGTCAAGCGCCGGTCAGTCTCGCTCAGGTATGCAATTGCTCGAGATGGGTAGAAGCCACGAGGTTTGTATGTGTGTGTGTATGTTTGTATGTTTGTTTGTTTGCGCGCGTGTGTGTGTTGTGTGTGTGTGTGTCGTTTTGTCTGCCCCTCTGTATACCCCTCTGTCTACCCCTCTGTATACCCCTCTGCACACAATTGCAAGACGTGCTGACACCATGTTGCCGCTTGCTTTGAATGCATTCACGTTTGTGCCTCATTGCTTGCCTGTGCAGGCCAGCGCAACCAGCGCTGTCACCGCGTGCAAGTAGCGCAAAGCGGCGTACGTCATCGTCAACACCAGCAATGTCACCACCTGCAACAGCATCATTATCAGCAGCAGCACCAACAACGGCAAGCGGGCACGTGGTCAACATATCCACAGCTTCGCCTGCACAACTGTTGTCCACAACATCCACCGCCGCCACACCCTCTTCACCATCACATCATCATCAACAACGACAAAGTAGGATACCGTCTATATCGTCGTCATCGTCGTTGTCGGCGCCATCAGCAAAGATGCCTGCAGGCAATAACGCGGGCCACTCCGTGCACGTGCTCGCACGGCGTGGGCAGCTGGAGCAGCTCCGCGTGCTGATTGAGAGCGGGACAACAGATGTTGATGCGCGCGATCGACGCGGACGAACGGCCCTGTATACCGCAGTCCGCAGCAACCAGCGCGCTGTTGTGGAGTACTTGGTGGAGCACGGGGCCGACGTGAACCTCTCTGGACCAAAAGGCGACACGCCCCTGCACATTGCGGCGTCGCTTGGGCTGGTGGATGTGGCGCATGTGCTCATGCTACACGGGGCCGATCCCATGATCGTCAACGAGCAGTTTGAGACGTGTAAGGACGTGTGCTCGCGACGGTGCTTTGCGCGATTGTTCCCAGCGGACGCAGCCACACTGCGCAGCAGTGGCAGTGGCAGCACTGGTGGTGTTGCAAGGCGCGGGCGTGGCCGTGGACGAGGGAGAGGGGGAGGGAGAGGAAGGGGGAGGGGAAGAGCAAGAGCAAGAGCAAGAGGTGGAAGGACGTCTGCAAACAGGCGTGAGAGCACAGCGAGCGGCACTGGTGCGAGTGGTGGTGAAGGTGAGAAGGATGGGCCCAGAGTTGGTGCCAGCACTGCCATGAGAGACGACGAACCACGCATCGATAGTGACGATCGTGGAGATGATCGTGGTGATGATCGTGGTGATGATGATGATGACGACGAGGATGTGTTTGAGCGGCCAGCAGATGTGCTGCCCACAGTTTCACAAGCTGCTTCTGTACCGCCGACTCAACGCAAGCGACGCGGTGAGGGCCACTGTTTTATAGCTTTTACCGCTTGTTTTGTTGACCTTTCGTTTGCCTGTGGTTTGCTTGTTTGAATGCAGTTGATCATGTGCGTATGTCTGCCCTTCGTATGCATGCGCACATCCTGATACTCTGCCCTTCAACCTCTCACTCCACGCGTGCGTCTGTGCCACTCACGTTGTCACCCCCGCCCCGGCCCCACTATCTTCTCTTCGCTTCCTCGTCAACAGCGCGTGTGCAGAATCTGCGGCGAGCAGACTGGGGCCGTGCACCCGTCAACGACAACGACGATGAGGGCGGTCGTGTTGATATCGAGGGCATCATCTTTGATGAAAAGCCGCTCACACATGATCCCGCAGCACAGTTCACGGATGCGTGGGACAACGACCACATGGTGACGACCATTGACGGGGTGTGCATTGCTGCGAGTCGTGATGGCTTCCTGCCCGCATACATTCTCGACTGGACTGCAAGCAGGCACCCGACAAGAGCATCAACAACAACATTAATAACAGCAGCAACAACAGCAACAACAACAACATCGACAACAACATCAACAACAACAGCAGCAGCAGCAGCAGCAGCGTCGTCCCTCCCCTCATCGCTTCGCCCATCCCAGTCAGCGCTGTGATGACGATGGTGATGGTGATGGTGGTGATGTCGATTTGGATTGGGGGGGGGGGAAGAGGTTGTGAGAGTGAGAGAGTGAGAGAGAGAATGTGTGTGTGTGTGTGTGTGTGAGGTTGTGTGTGTGTTTTGTTTGTTTGTTTGTTTGTTTGTTTGTTTGTTTGTTTGTTTATTCGTTTGTTTGTTTGTTTGTTTGTTTTTTTCTTTGTTTGTTTGTGTGTTTGTTGATTGATTGTGTGATGTCATGTCATGTCGTTGATTCAGTGGCCGTTCTTGTCTGTTTTTATGTGAAGTACAATAGCTGATCGTGTATAGAAACAACAAAAGTAAACAATCAACGCGCAACAAGTGCGCCGCCCACTTTCACAAGACCTTCGTAAGACCATCCACATGCGCGTACAAAGCGCATGCGGTTTGGCCATCAAAATGCCTGCAAGCTTCTATCTTACGTCGGCTTTCTTCCTTCGCCATGGGGCATGTACGGTTCGAGAACAGCGGGAATGTCAAAGTCTCCGTCTTCGCGTTGAAACGTTTCCATAATGGCAACGATCATCCGCGGCACAGCGCACGCCGTGCCATTCAGCTGAGATGTGTGTGTGTGTGTGTGTGTGTGTGTGTGTGTGTGTGTGTGTGTGTGTGTGTGTGTGTGTGTGTGTGTGTGTGAACGAGAGAAGGGAGGTTGCAGTGTTAGTGTAAGGCTTGTGTGCATGCTCAAACACCATCCACATTGCCTGCCTGCATGCATGCATGTGTGCGCGTGTGTGCGTGCGTGGATGTGTGGCGACGTACGGTGTGGACGAACGATGACGGTGCGGCCTGCGTTGGACGGGAGCGGATGTTTAGGCGGCGGCTCTGGTAGTCCGTGCAGTTGCTCGTGCTCGAAATCTGACAGCAGTGATGATTATGATGGTAAGAGTGAGTGGTGGCGGTGGTGGCGGTGGTGGTCACATGTCCAGTGTGCAGTGTGCAGTGTGCAGTGTGTAGTGTGCAGTCACAAACGAGGTTTCATGTTGGAATGGCGGTATGCATGTACTCACCTCGCCAAACTCCTGTCGCCCCGGCATCCACGCCTCAATGTCGTATTTTCGATACGCTGCAGTCGTGTGTGGCGTGTATGTATGTGTGCGTGTGAATGTGTGTAGGCGTATGTGTATGTATGTGTGTATGTGAATGTGTGTATGTGTGTGTTGTGGGTGTCATGTGTGAGCATGCTGCTTCCGTCCCTCGGTCCCTCGGTCACTCTCTCCCTTCCGCCCTTGCTCTGCCTCTCCGCAAGCCATTTGGCTACGAGCGTGTGCGTACCTGGTGCGCCAAGGTCCTCTGTCGGCATGTCCAACACCTGTTTGAGTGGGGATGTTGGAGTGGAGAAACACATGGACACATGGACACATGGGGTCAGTGGGTCAGTGAAGAACGCACCGCGACCACAGACATGAGCATCGACACAACTGCACAGGTGTATGCAACAGTACGTAAGCACAGCCACAGGCGAGACACCACCATCAACGGTAGCATGCCACCTTAAAGTGGAGGCCGAGGGAAGCAAAGAGGTCGATTTGGTCTTGCAGCATCTCATCGTGAAGGCCACACGACGTTTCCAGGTCGCCAGGCGAAATCACAAACAGCTCAGCCTGGCACGTGTGTGAATGTGTGTGAATGTGTGTCGGTGTGAGTGTGAGTGAGTGAGTTTGAGTGTGAGTGTGAGTCGGTGTGAGTGTGTGCGTGCGTGCGTGTGTGTGTGTGTGTGTGTGCGTGCGTGCGTGCGTGCGTGCGTGTGTGAATGTGTGTGAATGTGTGTGTGTGTGTGTTGGAGGGCTCATAAATCCCACTTTGCATGCGGCACCTTTGTGAACTGGTGGACGCGATAAAGACCGCGATTCGTGGCGCCGGCACCGCCTGATGAGCAGTGATGGTCATGATGGCGACGACAATGACGGCGGTAATGATTGTGGTCCAATGATTTGCATGAGGAAAGTGAGCACGATGGTGGACGGTGCGCAGCCGCAACATACGCACGCAGCTGCATACCATGTCAACACGCACACACACACACACACATAGACACACAACCGCGAACACACACGTGTTCGCAGAGCCGCACCTGCTTCACAGCGGAAGGCGTGGCCGACAGCGATGTATTTCTTTGTCAACTCGCTGTCATCAAATGTGTGTCCCATCCACATGCCTGCAGGTGTGGTGATGCGGGTACAATGGGCACACAAATCAACACCGCAAAAGCAGACAGCAGCAAACGAGCGTACTTATACACACACACACACACACACACACACGCACGCACACGCACACGCACACGCGCACCTACAGACACACACGCACACACGCACACACACACACACCTGCAAGGGGGATTTCGGCCGTTCCAGCAAGACAGAGCTCAGCCTGGCCAACAGAGTGCTGTTGGTCAAGGTGATAGATCTGAGGTGTGATAAAGAGACAGGTGTGCAGGTGGGGTTGCATGGGGTGAAGATGTATTGAGGTGTGGATGGCAGCAATGATGTGCAGGGAGGAAAGTTGTGGAAATTGTGACAGTGCACACCGGAAACACACAGGCACGCACACACAGACACACACAGACAGACAGACACACACACAGAGACAGACAGACAGACACACACACACACACGCACGCACACAGACAGACACAACTTACCTGTGATGCGTCGTCTCTTGGTTGGAAACCGCAGCTCTCAGCAACGCGCGTCTTGACAATATCGGGTACAGTGACAGGCTCATATCCCTACATGGCGGCGAGTGGCGGGCGGCAGGTTGATTAGATGGTTGGTAAGGTGTGGAGGCATGGAAGGAGGAGCTGAACCGAGTGGGTGTAAACTCATCACGACATCACCAGGGAGTTTTCTGTCAAAACACAGAGAGAGAGACACACACACACACAGACACAGAGAGAGAGAGACACACACACTCACACAGACACAGAGAGAGAGAGAGAGAGACACACACCGACACAGACACACACACACATACACACAGACACACGGACACACAGACACACACACACACGCGCGCGCATATGGTACCCGCTGCGTCATGAAGTTGATTGCGTAGTGGACGAGAGCAAACTCGAGCAGGGCGACTTTGCCATGAAGAAAATAGAAGCGACTGCCGGTGACCGCAGCACCAGACCTTTTGGTGGTGATGGTGGGGACGGGATGAGTGGGCGGAGGAGGTGAAAGGAATGCGAGGTTGCACGCATGCAATCGGGTACGTGTGTGGTGTGAACAGCACGTTGTGCAGAGGCTAATGCCACAAACGCAAATGCGCACTCACACACACACACACACGCACGCACGCACGCACACGCGCACTCACTCAATCACACAGCACACGTACCTGAAGTTGATGAGGTTGTTGGGCTGCGCAATGGCAAGGTGGTCTCTGGGCTCAAAACAGAAGGACGGTGCTTCGTTCACTGTTTGCAGCACCGTCGCTTGCTCCTCTGACCCAACGGGCTGATACACACACACACACACAGAGACAGACACACACAGACACACACACACACACACACGGGGAGAGAAAAAGGGCAGCGACAGGTGAGCTGTGTACATGGGTTGTGGCACACAAGCACCATATGGGGGTTCATGTATCGTTCGCAAACGCACCACGTCTGGGTGTGTCTCGTTTGGAATGGCGAGGCCCTCAATCAGCATGGCTTCTTCCACCCAGGGCATTTGGCTCTGTGCGTGTGTGCGGATGTGGAGGCAAGTATGTGTTGTGCGTGTGGAAGTGAGTGCGTGTTGTGTGAGCGGGGCACCAGCGAGTGCGTGCGTGTGTGTGTGTGTGTCAGCGGAAGCGTCACATTTCCAGGGAGAACAAGGCAGGTTACACAGACAACAGCAAAGGCCACATGCAACGCCATCACACCTCAACTTCTTGCAAGATTGTCTTGTTCTGTTTGGACTGCCGCAGCAGCTCCTGGAACTCTGACCCTTTCTTGTCCTTCATCTTCTGCATGCAGCAACAACAAGAACAAGAACGAGAGCAAGAACAAGAACGACATGCAGCGTGAGGTCAACAGTTGGTGCAAGGGATACACGCGCACAGAGCACTTCGACGTGATTGTGTACCTTGATACTGTCGGTGAGACGATTCCGCTCGTGCCTCAGCTGCTCCACACGCTGCAGCTGTGCCACGTACTGTTCATATGCTTCCACCTACCAATGCGCCATGCGTGTCAAGTGAGGTCCACTGAACACGTAGTAGTGGCACGCACGAGTGGCACGAAACGGGTGGCACGCGAGAGTGGCACGAAACACCACACACAAAACAAGACGCAGAGCCAAGCAACAACATCACACACCCTATCCTTTCAGCCAATTCGGTTTGCACCAAGCATCTCCCCCCACACAAGCGTTCCCACACACGCACCGCGGCGTCGACGTTCGCCTCGACGTTTCTGTTGCGGATGTTGGCCCGGTGGTACTCTAGGTTGTCGCGCCAACCCTTGAAGTTGAGCGAGGGCCGGATCGGTGCCGTTGCCGCACTTGTGGGCCCGATGTTGGCTGTTCCACCGCCTACCCCAGCCGCTGCAGCCGACAGCAGTCGCAGTCGCACCCGTCCCGAAGCAGCCGCAGCTGCAGCAGAAGCCGCAGCAGAACAGCACGCCTTCCTCGCAAAGCCCAGCGCCAGCATCGTGTGGTGTTGTTGTTGGATTGCGTCCGGGAAATGAAGCAAAAAAAAAAAGAACATCTCACCGACTGGAATCGAACCAGTGACCGTAGGAAACTTGAGTTGTTAACCGTCTACAATCCCACGCTCTGCCAACTGAGCTACGGTGAGCTGTGGTAAATGGCTAATTTTCGTCGTAACAAAACAAGTCCACTCACGCGTCTTGCGGAGAAGGCCACAGCACAGAAACAAGAGCAAGATGACCGTGAACGTGACTGTGACTATGCTGGCTGTCTTGTCCGTGTTTGCCGTGGGGATGCTCTTGCTGAATGAGCAGCAGAACGGCTGCCTGGGAGCGGCGGTGGTGGGAGAGGACGGTACGGGTGCCTTCCACATCAACACCAGCGATCCATCAAGCCAATTTGTGTTTGTGAACGGCATGAGCGTGGATGGGCTGTTCAAAACAATGGACACGTTGTTGCGGACAGTCCCAACACAGCAGAGGACAATTAAGGCGCAGCAGAGCACCATCGATCGCGTCTATGGGAAAGTGTGCACTCCAAATACCAGGACCTTTGGTCAAGTCGCCTCAACGACACACAAGTGGCTTGGAGGCGCGCTGGCGAACAACGGCCTGATCTACGCTGCACCGTACAACTCGCCTGCAGTGCTCATCATCGACCCGGACGCCAACACCGTCGACACAACTACAATATCCGGCCTTGGAGCGGACAACGGCAAGTGGGCCGGTGCTGTGCTCGCGCACAACGGCCTCATTTACATGTTTGCATCAGTCAGCGAGACGATGCTCATCGTTGACCCAGAGACGAACACCATTGACACCACAAGCATCGACTCACTTGGGTCCGGCACCTTCAAATGGCGCAGGGGCGTTGCAGCCACCAACGGCCTCGTCGTCGGCATTCCATTCTCTGCAACATCTGTTTTGATCATTGATCCGGAGACCAACACGTCCGACATCACCACCCTGGCGGGGCTGCCGACCGAAAGGTACAAATGGGATGGCGGTGTGCAGGCAGACAACGGCCTCATCTACTACTGTATTCCAAGGTTGGCTTCTTCTATTCTCATCATCAATCCAGAGTCCCTCACGATGGACTTCACCACCATCAGTGGCCTCGGTACAAACGACAATTGGCGTGGGGGCGTGCTTGCAGGCAGCGGTCTCATCTACACCATCCCGTACCTCACCGCAACCACACTTGTTATCAACCCAGCCACCAATGCCACCGCGCAGCTGCCCGTCGCGGAGGCAACAAGCTTTGGCAAATGGGTCGGCGGCGCACTCGCACCCAACGGCAACATTGTCGGCATCCCATTCAGTTCACCATCAGTCCTCATTTTCGATCCAGCCACAAACAATACCGACACCACGACCATAACCGAACTTGACGGGAGTGCCAAGTGGTACGACGGCGTCCTCGCTCCAAACGGCCTCATCTATGGCATCCCAAATGACGCAGAGTCTGTCCTCGCCATTGACCCGGGATGCTGACATGTGTGTTGTGTGTGTTATGTGTGTTATGTGTGCATGTGTGCCTGTGTGTGTGTTGTGTGTGTGTGTGTGTGTGCCCGTGCCGCATTCTTTTCGCGCTTCCTGCATCGCTTTCGTTCCTCCTTTCATTGACCGCTGTCCCTTCTTCCGTTTTCCTTCTCCAGTACTCTTGACGGCCATTTCACTCTTCTTGACTGTCCCACAACAATAAGAACAACACTAACCAACAGCAGAACCGAAATAGTAGCAGAACTGAGCCAATACTGGGCTCACCTCTGCTTCACACACACACCCACCCACCCACCCACACACCCACCACCCACCCACACACACACACACACACACACCACACACACACACACACACACACACACACACACACACACACACACACACACACACACACACACACACACACACACACACACACACACACACACACACACAAGAAAGTAAAAGAAGAGAGAACAAAGCTAAGAGCACCTTTTTATATATCTATGATTTCAAAATACAG